ACGAACACCTTAAAACGCCTCCCCAGAAAGGATTTAACTTTGATTATGGGTGATCTAAATGCCAAAATTGGTAGAGGACAATCGGGAGAATTCATAGGACAATTTGGACTTAGAGAAAAAAATGAGCGAGGAGACCGACTGGGTGAATTTGTAGAAGAAGAAGAGTTTGTGATTACTAACACTTACTTCAAACTCCCACAAAGAAGATTATACACATGGAAATCACCTCAAGATACTCCAGGCCGCATAGTGAGAAATCAAATAGATTACATTCTGATTAATAAAAGATTCCGGAACAGCATAATATCAGTCAAGACATACCCAGGAGCTGATATCAAATCAGACCATAACCCACTGATTGGCAAAATTAGGCTCAGGCTAAAGAAGGTTAGACGTAGTGTCCATCCAAAATTTGAATACCGTATATACAGTTATTCAATCGGATGTAATGGACCAGGAGCTAGAAAAGTTACATAAAGTTTCAAAAGACATTCGAGAGAAATTTCTCAAACCATCAAAAATTAAGAAGAAATCGTGGATGACAAATGAGATTCTAGATATGATGGAAGAGAGGCGAAAGTTCAAAGATCAAGACATATCATTATACAAAAGAATCGATAAAAAGATCAAAAAAGCTATTAGAATAGCTAAGGATACACATCTAAGAAAACAGTGTTCGAAAATACAGCAATTGCAACATAAACACGATACATTTAATATGCACAAAAAAGTTAAAGAAGCCGCAGGCTTATACAAACCTAGAAGAGTTGGGTGTTTGGCAGATAACCAAGCAAAACACTGTTAACTGTGGAAAAAAACTAGACACTTGGAAAAATTATGTGGAAGTAACTTTTGCAGATGAAAGGCAGACTACCATTGAAGACACTGAATGCCAAACAGGACCCCGATTACAATTGAAGAAGTCACGTCAGCTATTAAAAGAACTAAAAATGGTAAAGCGGTAGGGCCTGACGAGTTTTGTGCAGACTTCGTTAAACTTATGGATGAACAGGGAATAAAATGGATAACAACTGTATTCAACAACATATACGTAACTGGAAAAATACCCCAAAGCTAGTTAAAGTCGACCTTCGTGACCATACCAAAAAAAGTAAATGCCAAGACATGCGAAGACTACAGAACATTTAGCCTAATGATGATCAATTAACAGAGGCAGTCTCCATAGATAGAGGTGTGAGGCAAGGATGCATTCTGTCCCCGGTGTTATTTAATATATACTCTGAATATATCTTCGAGCAAGAGCTGGGAGAACTACAAGAAGACGTATTAGTCAACGGAATGCGTCTAAACAACATTAGATATGCCGACGACACAGTAGTTTTTGCAGATAGTCTGGACGGTTTGCAAAGAATAATGTCGCGTATATCACATATAAGTAGAGAACACGGAATTGATCTTAATACGAAGAAAATAAAGTACATGGTAGTCAGTAAACGCGAAATATTAAATACACAGCTTTTGGTTAACCAACATCCAATTGGCAGAGTGAACAGCTACACATACCTTGATACCAATATTAACAGCCAATGGGATCACTCTAATGAAATAAAACAACGCATAGGAAAAGCGAGATCAGCGTTCATAATGATGAAGTCTCTTTTCAGAAGTCATGATTTACCACTTGTTACCAAAATCTCTCTCATTAGATGCTATGGATTTACTACCTTATTATACGGAGTAGAGGCCTGGACACTTTCCGAAGCTTCCTTAAGAAAACTCGAGGCATTCGAGATGTGGTGTTACAGACGTATCTTAAGAATTTCATGGGTGGATCGTGTGATTAATGTTGAGATCCTACGTAGAATAGGCAAGGAATGCGAGATTATTAACACCACCAAAGAGCGCAAACTAGAATATCTTGGCCATGTTATGAGGAATGAACAGAGATACGGCTTGTTGCGTTGCAACTGATTCTTCAGGGCAAGGTATTTGGAAAGAGAGGACCAGGGAAAAGAAGAATATCTTGGCTTCAAAACCTGAGAAAGTGGTTTAATACATCGACAACCGGATTATTCAGAATAGCAGCAAGCAAAGTTAGGATAGGCATGTTGATCGCCAACATCCGGAACGGATAGGCACCGTAAGAAGAAGAAGAATACAAAAATATATTATTTTAACTCAACAAATTTTAATTAAAGTGATAGTACTAAATAAAAAACATAAATTTTACAAACTACAGTAAAGTTTAACACAAACAAGGTGTTTAATCGTTAGAAATTGAAGCATAAAAGGGATAAAAATCTGGTTCTAAAATGGATGTTACGGATTGTAAATCAGGATACTTCCTATATTTAATCGATAGTGTTTTGGTGTAAAGGCTTGGAAGATTGTGAAGTGTCGTTGGAATAATTAATTGGTCTTTTCTTTGGGGTAGATTTTCCCATTCATCAGAAAAATTAAATTTGAATTGAATTGTTTGATTAGGCAAATACTTCGATGCACGTATATCGACAACTCGGGAAGGTCCACAAAGTTTACCTGGTCTAATGCTATTATAAAATAAATAACTATCAAAATTTTTTAAATATTTGTAATCCAAATACTTCACTGTATATGGAGAAGTGAATTTTCTAGCCCCTTTACAGATTGTTATATAATATGCTGGTATACGAACTGTTTTATTTTTTAACTTCCGTTCAATGCAGGAGGGCATTGAGTCGGCCTCCATTTGTGTGTGACCGACTTCTAAGAACTTTTGTTCAATTATTACATTGTTCATAGATGCAATATGAAGAAGCGCATTGGCTAGTGTACAGCAACGGTTCTGGTACGTACAGCCGTCGCTGTACAAAACATTTTTTTCTTTCTCTCAGGTATGGGCAGGTTTGATAAAACAAAATCTGAAATTATTGTTGAAAACTCATTGGAAGTCAAACCGCCCTCTGTCTCATTCCAGATGAAACATAATCCTTCCTTGGTGTTTATCTTATAAATTGTAAAGTTGTGAACAGACAACTTCATTTTATAGTAGAGAGATTGTAACACTTTATGAAAGAACAATAAATAGTCTGGCAACACAGCGGGCGTGGCAATACATGGCATAGGTGCCAATGTTTGTCAGTGCTGTCCAATACATGGCATAGATGCCAGTGTTTGTCAGATGATCTTGCAACTCGTGTGCATATTATTTTGTATTCTTGGTGTTTAGAGTTATAATAAACAGTGATCACTCTCTAGTGATATTCTTATAGTCGTAGTAGTAGTGAGGACAAGACCTGGGAAAAAATACAAAGCGGATTGTATTGTAGCAGTATTTTGTCTATAAGCAGTCTAAAAATGGTTGACTCTACATTGTCGAATGAACAATGCGGCAGGATCAGTACTTGATAATACCGCAAACAAAAAGGCTTCCTCACTTCCAGAAGTGTTTCCTAAATAAGAGTTTCATGTTTATGCATGACTCGGCACCTTAATACAAGACAAAAACTATTGTAAAATGCCTTGCTGACAACCAGATGAAGGTGCTCGACTGGCTTAGCAATTTACCAGATCTGAATGCAATAGAAAATCGTTGAGAAAAAAATTTCTAATGAAATTATAATCACAAAGTGTCAACTGATACAGCGCTTAATAGCAGTATGGCACAGGAGTAGAATAATTAAACAAAATTGACCGAAATGCATAGAAGTATACCAAGAGGGCGCCAGGCAGTCATTGCTGCAAAAGGTGACACTACCAAGTATTAGGCTTAAGGCATAATTTTATGTGTTTTTTCATGTAATTTCTCATTTCTTTTTAAATACTTGTTTTTAAATCACAGTAAAATAGAATGAAGCACAAAAATATGTTTTATAGCTCAATTATATAACATAATTAAACAAAAAGTAAAATTTTATGGGGTGGCTCTATTTGATCACCCACTGTAATCCATACATTGGAAAATGTAGTGCTCATGATGTCATCAGCGACAATAGAAATAGAATAATAGAATTTGCAAGGGCATGGTCGTTGGAAGGACCTACGTTCCCCACAAGATAATCCATAAAGTAACATGGACTTCGCCAGATGGAACAACAAAAAATCAAATAGATCACATCCTAATAGAAACTAGGCGCTTCCTAATCTAATGGATGTACGTACTGATCGTGATGCTAATATAGATTTAGATCACTTCTTGGTAGGGGCAAAAATAAGTATTTCAAACTCTAAAAAGATTAATTAAAAGTATATTAGCATTAAATAATATAAAACATTTTTTAATACTGTACTTAGATCAAGATTCGGAATATAAAATGTCACCGTTATTATTTAAGTCAAGATCATAGGGAAATTTAACTATTTCCCTTTATATTCATTGTACGAATCAAAATAAGCATACCTAGTCTCTATTTAGTAAGGATGTATTGTTATTCTCCCTTGCACAGCCGTAGTAGTCCATTGGTGAGAAATTTGACCTCTAAGAATCATACGAACAAGTTGAATTTTGCTGAAAATATCATATTTGGACCCCAAAAAGATGCAAAAAAGTTTGCTGCTCCTACCGCTGGATTTCCACCTAAAACTCCCCTCGCATGCGGGGGAAGAACATCGATTTACCAAAAATCTGTACGTACGCCGTAGAAAAAAATATTTTAAACAAAAAATATAGCTGAGATAATTGTGAACAAAAATATTTAGTAGCACTTTGTAGAATGAACCTTTATCTTTGTAGAACCAACGCTTGAAGCGACCGATAAATTTTATTGATCTCATGAGAATCGTAAAATAACAAAAATCACGCAACATTAAAGCGCATTTTGATTTTTGTCGATAGGTCACTCTGATCAAAAGATATCGAGCTTTTTACCGTCGAGGTGATACAAATTTCATTTAAAAAATTTTTCAGCCCCCTATGAGAGAGATTTTAGAGGTTTTTGGGTCCCAAAATTGACATTCTTAGCAAAATTTAGCTTTTTTGTATAATTTTTAGAGGTTCAGTGGCATTTTCGTTACTGACGACTGGAGTATAGTACTTTATTAAAAAAAATGATAATACTTACTAAGTTCAGTTGTATCTGCGTTCTCTCTGGTGTTTATTTGCGATTCGCCCTCCATCTCTAACACCTCCCCCTCAAGAACTGTACAGCATCCTGCACTAGGTTTACCATGCACACAGTACACAACACCTCTGAGGCTTGATACGCTGTTTTCTCGAGTTCTTTTCCCCATGGAGCCATAATTACTGTTATCGATTTTACTGAAAAATAGAACACAAATGTAAATATTGTTAAAATGTGTCGTATACTTATGCGTTTGACCACCAATAACATCAAAATATTAATAGCTATTACCTATCTCAATGAGTCTTGGATAAGAACAACATCTTGCATCTTAATCAACTAAAAGTATTTTTTTATTTAAATTAATGTGTCTCGACTGCAATAGCTATTGACACAAACAATATTGTGTACAATAATTACAATAAGCACATGTTACTAATTGCTACAGTTAATCAATAAGCTTAGAACCTATGAGTAAATAATACAACAGTTTTATCACTAAGTTATAAGTTAAAAGTTTAAAAGTAATAAAGGCAAAGGAGATCAACAAAAAATACTGGTGGAACGAGGAGATAGAGTTACTAGTTCAGGAAAAGAAACAAAAATACTTAAAATGGTTGGCAACAAAAAATAAACAATATCTGGAAGATTATAAAGACAATTAAGAGCGGGCATTAATTTAGCTAAGAACGAGACGTGGGATAAGAAATGTAAAAAAGTTAACAATTATATCGGAGGAAGGAAATGCTCGGAGGTATGGAAATTTATATCAAATGTCAAAAACCCAACAAAGGACAGAGCAAATATCCAGATAATCAAACCGGAGCAGTGGTTTGATTATCTGGATATCTACAAAGGTCTACTACAAGAAACTAGACAGAAATACATGATAGAATCTCCAAAACATTTTGTAGTAAATGAAGAAGAAGTAGAGGTATCCGAAGAAACAGTAAAAAAGACAGTTTTGAACCTTAAGTTAGGGAAAGCTAGCGGACCAGAAGGGATTTTCTCCGAAATGTTAAGATGGGGAACGGAAAAACTCTTTAGAAATCTAACAATAATTATCAATAAATGCCTAAATGGACATCCTGTTCTAGAAGACTGGAAAACAGCTTATATATCATCCATCCATAAAAAAGGAAATAAACTGGACTGTAACAACTATCGACGCATATCAATCACGAGTACACTGAGCAGACTATACAGTAGAATACTGCGAGATCTAATTGAAGAAGACTATAAAGAGAAAGAAGAAGAAGATCAAAGCGGCTTTAGAGTAGATAGATCGTGTACCGACAACGTATTTTGTCTAAAACAAGTCATAGAGAAGAGATCTACTAGACATCTAGAAACCCATCTTACATTTGTGGACCTACAAAAAGCATATGATACAGTCCCAGTATCGAGACTGTGGAAGGTATTAGAACAAACGAACATCAATCACAACTATATAGCTACACTTAAAGAACTGTATGAAAATTCACAATCAAAAATTAAGATAGGTAAAAAACTCACAGATGCCTTCATAGTGAATAAGGGACTACGTCAGGGATGTCCTATCTCTCCTACACTATTCAAAATATATGTAGCAGTGGCACTTAAGAATGCGAATAGAGATTGCCAGATCAGCATTTATACGAATGAAGCCACTCCTAACGTGCAAAAATCTAAATTTGGAGATCAGACTATGTACCATTCGCTGTTATATATTTTCAATATTATTATATGGAGCTGAGACTTGGACATTAAAAAAATGTAATTTAAAAAGAATCGAGGCTTTCGAACTCTGGTTATACCGCAGATTATTGAAAATATCATGGACTGATAGAATTACAAATAAAGAAGTACTGGAGAGGGTTGGTAAAGAAACAAAACTAATCACCACTATACAAACGAGAAAACTGGAATACCTAGGCCACGTGATGAGGGGACCAAAATATGAAATTTTGAGACTGATAATACAGGGAAAGATTAAAGGAAGAAGATCTGTTGGCCGAAGGCAGAACTCATGGTTAAAGAATCTACGTGTTTGGTACCAATGCAGATCGATTGATTTGCTTAGAGCAGCAAGTTCTAAAATAAAAATAGCCATTATGATTGCCAACCTCCGTAGGGAGACGGCACTCTAAGAAGAAGGCACTTAAGAACTGGAAAAGGAAAATACACGGAATGGGTATAGAGATAGATGACATATACCTGTTTACTCTTCAGTTTGCAGATGATCAGGTCATAGTGGCCAATGACAAAGACGACATGCGATATATGATTAGAAAGCTGATAGAAGAGTATGAGGAATGGGGCTTGACAGTTAACGTAAATAAAACGAAATGTGTAGGCTCTCAGAGCGAAAATTTGGAGTTGGACAATGGTCAAGAAATTCTGCTAAAAAGATAATAGGATGTCTGAATGGCATCTTGTGGAGCAAGGAGATAAAAAAAAGGAGAAAATTTATTATATACTAGACAATGGTTAAGAGCATCCTATTATATGGAGCGGAAACATGGAGAATTCCAGACAGACAAAAAAACAAGGTAGAGGCAGTCGAAATGGACGCGATAAGAAGATCTATGCGACTCGCACGAAGAGAAAGAATGAGGAATGACCATATAAAACAACGAATGGGAATAGAAGGTACGATAATTCAGGATATCGAAAAGAAACAACTAACCTGGTACGGACACGTAGAGCGAATGCAAAATACCAGATGGCCCAAAAAAATACTGAACTGGACCCCAATAGGGAATAGAAAGCGAAGAAGACCCAAACTAGAGTGGCAGCAAAACATAAAAAAGTCAATGAGCGAACGGAATCTATCAACGGAAAATTGCCATGATAGAAGAGGATGGAAGTTAGGTGTCGGACAACGGAGAAGGACGTTCTAAACCGGCATATATATATATATATATATATATATATATATATATATATATAAGTTAAAAGTAAAGTACATGGAAAACAAGGGTCATATTTTGTTGAAAACCTGAATATCTTTCAAGAAACCAGTTAGGTTAACTTGATCGGGTGAGTTTAAAACGTCTTTGATATTTGACTTAAGTTTATGTTGCACTCTGTGTTTTTCGTACCAGGGATACTCGATCAGGATATGTTTCACAGTTAGTATCATTGAGCAGATTTGGCAATTCGGCTTCAACTCGGACTTCATTAAATATTCATGTGTGAATCGGGTATGTCCTATTCTTAATCTTCGGATGACAGCCTTTTCGTTTCTAGATATTTTTGGAAGTTCAAATTTTTCAAGAGTCTGCTAGATGATCCTGACATCTACACCTTGAAAAGCGAGTGCACTGTAAGTCCTATGAATTTCTTGAACTAATGCTGAGGGTATAGACTTTTTATCGATTGTAGTGACGACAGATAGTCTGTGCATATTGCATCTGTTTTTAGTTTTTTAAAAGCCTCTGGTATCGCATAAAGTTCTGCAGTGTATAAGCTGCATAAATCCGGTAAAAAAGATGATTTTATTACTTCATCATGTGTGGTAACGGCACATCCAACGCCTGCTTCGGTTTTGGAGGCATCTGTATACAGAACTTTTTGGAATTGGTTCTTGCTTATGATTTCTTTGAATTGTTACCTTATGAGAAGGATTGAGGTTTCATGTTTACTGTATTCTAATAGAGAAGGACTTGAATGTGGGATTGGTCTATTCCAAGGCAGAGTATCCAGGATTGGGAAGGAATGTGTTTTAGTAAGGACGATGGTTTTTCTTAGAGTTAATTTCTGGATGTCTATTATTGATTGAATCCTTTGCAGGGTCTCCGCAATCTATTCTGGTCAAAGCAGGTTAGCGTAAGGCGCTCTTTTCTCCGTGTTCGGCGACTTGGCGCTCTCTCTACCCGGTCTCTCGTACCCGGGTTTAGGGTTTTTTGTAATTTTTTTGAGAGATGTCTGAAAAGTAATATCATTAGTCATTATACAAATATTAAAATTGCCAGTGCTATAAGCTAGGTTGTCTTCTGTTGATAGAGCTACGATTTTCTAGACTTCATATGTTGGCCAGGATTTGCTGTTTTGGTCTTCGATGGAACGCATCATATCGTATTATCTCTCGCAGTATCAGGCTTGGATGGTTCTCTAGCTCAGCAAACTTTGTCTTTTCTCCATCGTGTCTGTCACTCTTACTTGTTTCAATTCAATGAAGAGGAAACGTTCAGAAACGTATCGGGGTATATTTACCGCTTCTCTGAGGCTGTTATTATATGCTGCTAGTATCCTCTTTTTGTTTGATTTACTAATGTGTCCCCATGCGAGAGATGCATATGTTATTGTGGGAAGTATGATGCTGTTATTCAGTCTTATTTTCGTTTTTAGTCTTAATTTGATTTTTCTACCTGAGTCCTCTTATTGCATTTCTGGCTGTGTTTGTTTTTGGATGGTTTGGTCCACATGTTGCTTGAATGTTAGTCCTTGATTCATTGTGACTCCTAGGTATTTTGCTCCCTTTTCCATTGGACTGGATTGTTTTGTACTATAAGCTGATCGTTTAGGGTTTTTCTTCTCTTTTTAAACATAACTGCTTGAGCTTTTTTTTTAATAATGGTTATTTTCCATTGGATAGTCCATTCTTCTATGTTATCTAATGCTGTATGTAAGTTGTTTACAGCTTCATCAATGTTTCTATGTTAAGCTGCAATTGCTGTGTCATCTGCATAATGACTGAGAAGTGTTCCTGGAAGGAATATACATCAGGTGACAGGACCGCTCCCTGTAGCACTAAAGCCTCCGAAGTTCTGTGCTCGGACAGTCCTGTCATGGCTTCGCTATATCTATAACTTCTCATTTTGTATGTCAGTCCTTCATGCCAGACTCTGTCTAAGGATTTGCTTACGAAATGTCAAAGAGGTACAATATCTGGGGAAAAAGACTAAACCGCTTGATACGCTCAAGGTTATTGATGTAGGCAATAGTTATATTTGTAAGAAATTGACTTTACCTGTTTTCGTGTATAAACCCCTATCTCAGTTTAGATAAAAGTGAGATAAATAACAATCATATTTATACCGAGAAAAAAAATTAAAGGCGAAAAAAGTATCTTACCTAATCTAATGTGGTATCTTATCTAATGCAATTAGTATTTTTTAAATGTCGAGATAAAAAACATTAGAATTTAACAGTAGGAATTGCTAATATAACTAAAAAGAATTAAGATAGGTTAGTTAAAGTCTACAACCCATTA